TTTAACTAGAAAAACTATTACTAAATGTGGCAATGAACTAATTGTACAATATAAAATGAGAATAAAAAAATATAGTTAAATATGATAAATGATAATTGGTTATAATAAAAGTAAAAACAATTGTTGAAGGGTTAATACTACAATCAATCTTAAAATTTATTATGATTTATAAAGTTATTTTTTACTTCCAAATATTCTAATTTGATTTAATTCTTTTAAACTAAAACTTTTAACTCCAAATTTGGGATGTGACAAATATTTAGTGACATAAATTTTTTGAATTACAAGAGTAGCATCAATGATTAAGACGATAAAGAGTGAAGACTGTTGACCTAACCAGAAACAACCCGAATTAACTCTAAAATCTAAAGGTTGATCCGAACCGAAACCAAACCGACTTGACTTGAAAATCTAAAGTTTGACTTGAAATGAAATCAACAGATCCGATATTGACCCGACTCGAAACCAACCGATTCGAAATTAACCTGACCCAAATTCTAACCGATCTGATTTTGACCCGACCTAAAAACCAACCTACCCGATTTGACCTGACCCAATCCCAACCCGAACTAAACCCGAACCCGATCCGAACCGAACCAAATCCAAACCGTATGCAATCCTAACCCAAAATAACCCGATCTGAAATGACCCAACCCGACCCCGACCCGAATGACCCAACCCGACCCCGACCCGAATGACCCGATTGCCATCTCTAGTAATTAATTAGGTTTAAATTAGTTACCAACTCTTGGATCAATGGAAGGCTAAGTCTATCAAGGTGTTTAACATAACCTTTCGTCTTTAACAAATGAGCATTAAATGAAGTACACCATCATTTAACGATCTTTTTAACGATTATTACGGAATATGCACTTAAAATATAACCTTTATGATATTAAGTATATAAATTAATCGAAAGAGGTTTAAGTACTGAAATGAGAAAATATATAATACTAAAAACAAGTAATTATGTGTATTTATTGGATATTTGGATACACTTATAAATGATAGTTGACACACGTCTTTTTAAAGAGATATGTTTAAGTCCAAAATTAAGACACTAAATTAAATAAGCAACTCCAATGTATATTTCTTTTTGGATTAATATATGATGATTACAAAGTAATATATGCTCTAAATGCTCTCAATTATTTGACAATGAACGCTCAATCACTTTATTATAATCGTTAATGCTTGAACCTGTGACCTTTGGAAACAACGATTCTTTTAACCACTGAGATAAGTTAATTGATGCAACTCCAATGTATATTTTCAACTGTAAAGAAAATTACTCATTATCTAAAATTAAATTAATTTAGTTTAAAATAGTTTAGATTCAAAATAATTCTAATCAAATAATCTAATACCGATGAATTGAAAACAAACTACAGAGAAAAATATTGTGATGTAGGCTGATCTACACGCTTTGGGAGAAGAGAGTAGATAGCCTTATTGTGTCTCGATCTAGGATTGACAAGTACTGATGTCCTTGAATTATAAGCTTGGCTGCAACATAGATAAGAAAAGGGAAATGATTAATAAAGGAAGATTAATAAAATGATAAAGATAAGGAATGAAATGAAATAAATAAAGAATAGAGATGGCTGCAAAATTGATGGTCTTGATGGATGAAGATGATGGCGTTGATGATGAAATGGAGATGGTGTTGTATCTCAAACATGCCAAAGAAGAAATAATGCTAAGGAGCACAATCCCGGTCTTCACAAACTTGTTTGAGGGGTGGTGATAGTGTCTTCAACCCACTAGATATTAATCTAGGAATTTAGGAATCAAGATGGAAGGAATGATGCCACAAGTATAGGAATTATACTTGTTTAATCAATAAAGTTCACAAAGAACTTTGAAGAGAAATAACTCACAAGAGTAATTTTTATATATGAGATGAGATGAGTACAAATGATGGCAAGCAACTCTATTTATAGGAAATAAGAGGGCTTGGCCGAATGGTTACATGATGTTTCGGCTAGATATATGACTTTATGAAGATACATAATGCTTTAAAATGAAAGAACATCTCTATAAGCTTGGTGTTGGTTTGTCTATCCCTTCATAAAGGGTCTTGATGATTCGGCTAAAGATGGGAAGGCATCTCCCTTGGCCGAATGGGAATGCTTGTTCATCTTGGTGCCATTTGCTTCTCTTTGGCCGAATGGTGATGTGCCTCCTCATGTTGGCGCCAAATGCTCTCATGTGCATAGAATGTGTTGTGGCCGAATATGTATGAAGCTTTATATCATGTCCCATGGTGATATAAGCCTCCAATGATTACAAGGTCTTCACCAACATGCTCTTAGATGTAAAGACATCTTCATGGGCAGCAACATTCATGAAAGGTCACAATGTTTGAGAAAGGTAACCCTTCATGTTTGAGCTACTTATGGTGTGAATGAACTAAAGGTGAGCTGGCCATAGGTGACTTGTAGCATGGTGAACATGTTGAAAATAGGGCTAATGTAAAGTGAAGAAAAAAGAATTGGGTGGTGAAATAAATTAAATGACAAAGGTAAGAAAAAGTGAAAAACTTCACTGTCGTATATTCAAGTAACAATATATTACAAGTTTAATATGTATATATAGTAGGTGAGAACAAGTATTTAATTTAAATTAAACTACTTAGTAGTTATCCTTATCTAACTTTCTAAGAGTTAATTTAAACTAAACTACTTAGTAGTTATCTTTATCTAACTTTCTAAGAGTTAGTGTTATATTAAAATACTAATTAATTATCCTTATCTATCGCATAACCTACACTCCCCCCTCAAGTTAGGGATTAAATGTTGAAAAGACCCAACTTGGATATAATGTCATCAAAGGTAATTCTTGGAAGTGCTTTGGTGAGAATATCTGCTAACTGATTCTTCGTTGAAATATAATTGAGTTTAACCGTTCCACCATTCACCTTTTCAGAGATGAAATGTCTGTCAATCTCCACATGCTTCGTTTGGTCATGATGAACTGGATTCTTTGCAATACTTATTGCAGATTTACTGTCACTTTGAAGTTCAAACCATTTGTTGGCACATAACCCCGACTCAGTTAACATTCTTTAAATCCAAAATCCTTCGCAAATTCCAAGTACCATTGCTCTAAATTCTGCTTCTGCACTACTTCGAGACACCACCGCCTATTTTTTACTTCTCCAAGTAACCAGATTTCCCCAAACAAATGAACAATAACCAGTTGTAGATCTTCTATCCGTTAATTCACCTGCCCAGCTTGAATCCGAAAAAATTCTTACTGTTCTATCATCACTTTTTCTAAAAATTAACCCATGTTCTGGTGTCATTTTCAAGTATCTTAGAATTCTATTCAATGCCTCTAAATGTTCTTCTCTTGGATCATTCATATATTGACTCACTATACTGACAGGGAATGCAATATCAGTTCTAGTAAGTGATAAATAAATTAGTTTACCTACTTGATACATGCATCACAAGGCTCACATCAAAGGAAGAAGTAATAACTCTTCCAAATGATCCACTCGTCCAAGCATTGGAAAAGAAGATCAGAACAGAAGCAGACTTACGACGACTTTTTGAATGGGATCCTGATCTTATTTAGTCAATATGTCTTCTGGATATACAACCTTCCGTCTCTTATATTTCCAACGGTTATTGAATCACATCAATCCGATATCGGGAACTCAAGATATGGCTATTTTACTGAAGACAGTGCATGCAGAAAATCCTATACGGGATTAATACGGGATTTTGAAAATATTACGAATTTTCAATATTTTTATTGATTATTTGTAATATAACTTAATATAGGATGATGCATTATCTTTTAGGATTAGATTTATTATTTTATTAGGAATTAAGGTTGGGTTAAAAGTATTATCTTTAGTTATTATTATTTTATTAGGAATTAGAGTTAAGATATGTTTAGTTTATTATTATTTTATTCATTAGTTATTTAGGACCTTTAGAACTCAGCCCCTATATAAAGGAGGCTTCATTAAACTTTGTAATTCAAGATTTCTTTCATTAATAATACAACGAGAGTTCGTTTTTGCAAGTGCTGATTGCCTTGTGCCTTCGAAGCTTCTTCTCCTTGAGTTCTTTCAAGTTCTTGTGAGGGAGATTAATCTTCACACTCCAATTTGCCTTTTCATCGCGACTAGGAGAGTTGGTTAGAGCCATATTATCGTGTTTGCCTTTTCATTGCGACTAGGAGGGCTCGATAGGACATTATCCATCGATTTTCCACATATCCATCCACATCATCAATCATCTTTACCGTTCACCTTCATAAGGGAGATCTTTTGATTTATTGGTTATCTTATTTTATTTGCAATTCTTTTATCTTTTATTTATCTTGTTTTAATCTTATTTTTTATCTTGTTTCCAGCACCAAAAAGAAACCCTAAAGAACCCTATCTATTACCACCACCTTCCCCATTCATCCCTTATTATTCTTCATCGAGTCTAGATCTTTTCTAGGTTTGATTCTTCAACAAGAGTAACGTTCATCAATCCGCCACCGCTTCCCTATCACTACTAGCCTTTGGTACTGTTCTTTGTTCACATGACTTCCCAATTCTTCTCTCCTTAGCTTAATATTTGCTTCCATGGGTGTTTCTACCGGCTTACATCCCTTTATTCCAGTTTCTGATAGTAGATCAAGGATATATTTCCTTTGATTGATCACTATTCCTTCTTTTGACCTTGCAACCTCCATGCCTAAAAAATATCGTAAAGTTCCCAAGTCTTTGATTTCGAACTCCTTCGCCAGTAGTTTTTTTAATCTTTCTATCTCCATACAATCATCACCTGTTAGAATGATATCATCAACATAGACAATCAAAATTGCCTTTTTGTTGTTTGAAGCTGTCTTGACAAATAAAGTGTGATCCGACTGATATTGCTTGTAACCATCCTGAATAATCACCTTTGTAAATCTGTCAAACCAGGCTCTTGGAGATTGCTTAAGTCCATACAAGGACTTTAGTAATCTACATGCTTTTCCTGTATTGCTTTTCACACCCGGTGGAATTCGCATATATACTTCCTCCTCCAAGTTTCGTTTAGAAATGCGTTTTTGATGTCTAACTGATGAAGCACCCAATTCTCATTAACTGCTAATAACAATAACACTCTCACAGTGTTTAGTTTTGCTACCGGAGCAAACGTTTCATGATAATCAACTCCAAAAGATTGAGTGAATCCTTTCGCCACTAATCTCGCCTTATATCTTTCAATGCTACCATCAGCTTTGTATTTTACCGTGAATACCCATTTGCAACCGACTGGTTTTTTATCTTTAGGAAGATCAACTATAATCCAAGTATTGTTATTTTCCAGTGCTTTTAATTCCTCTTCTACTGCCTTTTTCCACTTGGGATCTTTCAATGCTTCTTCCACCGTATCTGGAATAGTAATGCTATCTACACTTGCTGTAAAGTTCTTAAAAAAGGCATTAGCTTTCCGTATGCAACAAATCTCTCAATTGGATAATTTCTGCATTTTCTTAATCATTTCCTTTGAGCAATCGACAAGTCATTATCATCAATTAAAGCATTTAATTCAGTGAAAGAACTCTGATTACCTTCTTTATTCTCTAAAGGATTCTTGTTCGGTTCCGGTTCATGACAGTGTCCATGCTGTGTGGGAGACTCAGAATTAGGTTCAGGGATTGATTTAGAAATTGGTTTTTGTCGTCTCTTGTAAATCTGCAACTCAGATTGAGGTATTTGAGGCGAAGTGATATACTGATCATGCCGAGGTAAATGTGTTTCGGTGGACTGGTTTGGCAAGTATACGTTTTCTGGGTTCGATAGTGTTGTTGGCTGTAGCGATTTTGTAGGCTTATTTGACTGGTTTAACTGGTTTGACGGTGTTGGTTGATCAAAAAGAGCTGGCTGCAAATCAAGTGACAATTGTTGTGAGTCAACAAACTGATATTCATTATATGACTCCCCCTGAATAGCATTTTTAAGGAAAAAAAGGTGTTTTTTCAAGGAAAGTAACGTCCATAGTAATAAATAATTTCTTTGTACGAGGATAATAACACCGAAAGCCCTTTTGAGTCGATGAATAACTCAGAAACACACACCAAAATGCTCGAGGATCTAATTTGGACCTGAAAGGAACATTGTTATGAACGAACACAATACAACCAAAAACTCTAAGGGGTAACAATGAAGTCATCGGTTTAAAATTGGGAAAAAACTGAAGAAAAACATCTCTCGGACACATAAATTGTAACGGTTTACTAGGGAGACGGCTAATCAAATAAATGGCAGTTAAAAGGGCTTTCCCCAAAAATAGTTAGGAACATTTGTGGAAAAAAGTAGAGACCGAGTAACCTCAAGATGTCTGTTTTTCCGCTCAGCAATCCCATTTTGTTGAGGAGAATTGACACACGAAGTAAGATGAACAATCCCGGTTTCCTGAAAGAAAGAACCCAATACATTGGCAAAATACTCACTACCATTGTCAGAATGAAACATTGGATTGAACACTAAAATTGGGTTTCAACCATCTTATGGAACCGTTTAAATATTTCACAAGCTTCATATTTGGTTTTCATGAGAAAGGTCCAGGTAGTACGAGCGTGATCATCAATAAATGAAATAAACCACCGAAACCCATGTAAAGATGTAACCCGAGATGGTCCTCAAATATCACTATGGATCATGGTAAATGGTTTGGACGGTTTATATAGAGAAGGTAGATAAACACTCTTATTTTGTTTAGCAAGTGGACAAATATCACAAGAAAAAGATTTCAGACTTTTATTGACAAACAAATATAGAAACAATTTTGCAAGATAAAAGAAACTAGGATATCCTAAATGAAAATGAAATAACATAACATCGGTTGAAGGTTCAAGTAAAGAAAATTGTTGTATAACATTGAAGGAAGTATATGGGTGGGAAAATAAAATTGCTGGAAGTAGGTAAAGACCCCCACAAAGCCTAGCACTGCCAATCACTTTCCCCGAGCTGGAATTCTGAAATTCACAAAAATCAGAGTTAAATTTTGTGGTATAATATAAATCGGCAAACAACTTGCTAATGGAGATAAGATTGCAAGTGAGATTAGGAACATAAAGAACACGAGATAACAAAATGTCCTGATTTATTCGAATAGATCCATGACCGGCAATACTAGATAGAGAACCCTCAGCTGTTCGAATATGAGAGATAGACGAGTCGGCATGAAAAGTGTGAAAGAGCCGAAGATCACCTGTCATATGATCACTTGCACCAGAATCCACAATCCAAGTAGGTGGTGGATATATTAGCCAAAGTAGCAGAAGGAATTCTACCTGCAGGTACTGATTGGGGATGAGTGTGCATCTGACTAAAAAACTGTTGTAACACTTCCATTTGTTTTTTAGTAAATGAACTTCCTTGTAATTCAGTATTCACAACACAATTTCCTTGAGTATCACGTTGTTGATGCTATTTTGAAAACTTCTCATCAGTAGGCTTGCCATGTAATTTTCAAAAGGAATCCCGCAGATGGCCAACCTTCTCACAATAGTCACACCAAGGTCTCCCTTTCTTTGGCCGAGTAGTAGTTTGAGAGCGAGTGAGAAATGCAGACCCTTCAGCGGGCTGCAAATCAGGAAGCATAACGGTACGTCGACTTTCTTCGCGTCGTATTGTAGAAAATATTTCCTAGATTGAAGGAAGAGGTTTGAGTCCTAATACTCGTCCTCGGACTTCATCAAGATCCTGATGCAAACCGAACAAAAACTAGAATATCCGGCTCTGTTCAACAATCTTCTTGAATAGAGCGACATCTTCTACACACCTCCATTCATGGGATTCGAACAAATCAAGTTGCTGCCAAAGGCGCGACATTAGAGTAAAATACTGATTCACGGTCATGTTGTCTTGTTTGAGATTGGCAAGTTGACACTCGATCCCAAATAAAGCAGCAAAATTTTCCAGATTCGAATACATCGCCTTTGCAACACTCCAAATTTCAGCCGCTGTTTTATACAGCAGAAAGTTTTCCCCCACAACAGGAATCATGGAATTGATGTGCCATGATATAATCATGGTATTCTCACTTAGCCAGGTTGAATATTCAGGATTCGTCAGAGCGGGAATTGGTGTGGTCTCTAAAAGATAATGTTGTTTGCGCCAACCAATTATATAAAGGCGAACAGATTGGGACCAAGCGATATAATTGTCACTATTCAATCGGTGACAGGTGATAGAGGTTGAAGAACATCAGAAAGGTTTGAATGGGGCGAATTAACGAGAATTCCGAAGTGAGCTACGATGAAGAAGTGGCGGAATTCATGATTGACAGCTATATTTAGGGTAAAAAGAAAAAAAATAGGCTATGTCGTAACCGTTTTCCGTCCGGGTACAATATTATTTACTTGGCGGGAAAAGTAATGTGAATAAATGGTTTTTAAAATGTTTAAGGAGTCGTCATCGATCTTTTGGGTCAGGTAGGTCGAATACCTAAAATGATATTTAAAAGAGTTTTTAAGAAAACATCAGTTAAAAGATAAATTGGTATGCGTTTTAACCAAAAATTTGTTCTTTTCAATAATAAAAAGGGATTCGTGGTCGATTACGTTTGAGGAAGGATTAGCACCCCCACAACGCCCAAAATTGGTACTAATTTAATTATAAATTGTCTCTATTATTGGAAATTTAAAAATTCAAAAAATATATTTAATTTATAATCTTGTTATTTCAAATTTATTAGTATCTATATTTTTAAATAAGATATTCATTTACTTAGAAATATCAGAAAAGAGCTTCTAGGTGATTTAAGACAGCTCTTTTCTTAATATTAAAATAAATAAATATTAATAAAACATTTATCTAAAAATAATAAAAAATTAAAAATAGATTAACATATATATAATTAATAAAAGTAAAATATTTATTTAGAAATATCAGAAAATGGACATCCAGTTGCTTTAAGACTGCCCTTTCTAATATTTAAATAAATATTAAAATAATAATTTTCCTTTATAAAATATTTTGGTTTTGAAAAGTAAGATATTTATTTATTTAAAATACCAGAACAGGAAATCTAGTTGCTTTAAGACTGTCCTTTTCTTTGATATTAAAAATAAATTATTATTATTTAAAAATATATATATATACACACATACATATATATATATATAAGACTAAAATAATAATAAAATAATAATTAAAGTATTAAAAGTAATAATAAAATAATATTACAAATAAATAATGAATAAATAAAATTAAAACTATAATATAAACACACTTTAACGTTAATAAAATACCATATATAAGCAATCTTTGTAAATGAATATAATAAATACTAAAAGAACTTTATATTTTAATAAATAGTAATATAATAAAGTCAAATAGTATTAATGTCTATTATAATTAAAATGGATGGAAGGGAAAGTAAATTTAAGATACCAATTATAAATAAATGCAAAGAAAATTAAAGTAAGGAAAAATAAAGTCAAAGATACAAACATCAAGGTCATAAGTAATTAAGGAAAATGAAACATTAAAGGTGAATTAATCTTTTATAAATAGTTAATTGACAACAAATTTGGGAAAGTATAAAAATAATTTAAATTAAAATAATTAAATCATATTCATAAATACATAAAATTCATAGTCAACGTTAAGAATTACAAAAATTAGTGATTAATTTATAAAAGATCAAAATTAAGGGACATTATTCGAAATACCATAAAACCTAAATATTATCAGTGTAATTTAACCTATATAATTATACGGGATTAAAATTAAATTTTTTAAAATTAAAAGGATTAATCATGGTATTGTACCTTATGCATATAAATATACAGATAAGACTAAAATAAATAAAATAAAATTCGAATATAATATTAATATGTTCATAAATTGATTTCAGTGGCTAAAACGGAATTTATAAACTTCAGGTGACTGTGCGTGTAGTTTAACTATTTTGAAATTACACCAGACCCTGCCGTTTTGATGAGGGTATAAATAGCCTAAAAACCGGCTCCCTTGAGCCATTTCTTTCATTTTTCCATTTCAGCTTCTCTCTCTAGGAGAGAGAAGCTCTGCCTTCTCTCTAAAACAGAGAGGGAGACCATCGGCCGGAAGCCGTGCTCCGGCACCGTCGACCACCGCCGGCCATCTTTGACGGTGGCTAGAAAACCCCAAAATACCCCCAAAATAGAACTCTAAACGTCCTAAGGCCCGGTCTAAGGTTATTTTAACCTAAAACCCCATAATATATCATAAATCTACGATTTTCACCTTCGACATTTTGGTTCTCCGGTGACGTTTGGGGCTCTCTGACGATAGAGTAAGTTCCTCTCTTCTCTTCTCTTTTATTTTTGTTTTTGGTGGTTGTTTCGTTCTGCTCTGTTGGTTGTTTGCTTGATCTTGGGTTCCTATCACTGTTGCTGTTCTATGTGTTTGGTTTTTTTTTCTGTTTTGCTCGGTATCTCTCAGTTGCTCTCGCCCTTTCTCTTTTGCAGGTTTGGTGGCTTTATAGCCACCATGGTGATGGCCTTAGACCAGTCCAAAAGGGGCTCTTTGGTGAGTCACCAGACTATGGTGGTGACTCACCATAGAGTTGTAGCGTGGAGGGGCAGCTGGATCTTCTGGAGCGTTCTGTTGAAGCGATTGCAGTAGCTTCCTGAGGCGGCTGGGTGGTGGCAGCAAGGGAAGCGGCGACGTGGCCCTAGGGTGATGATACCCCAGGGTTTCCTCTAGAGGCTTTTGTATCGTTGGATCTGGTAAGATCTAACGGTTGAGATTGAGGCGGTTGGCTGTTGAGGTGATGAAACCCTTGTTGGGTTTAGGGTTTCCTACTGTTGGGCCTCTGGGATTTGTAATTGGGTTGGGTTGTTTTTTTTGGCCTGTAAATATAATAATATCAATTAATAATAATAATAATTATTATTATTTTTATAATAATAATAAAAATAATAAAACGGGATAAAAATTTAGTGTCTTCAGTTGCCCCTCTTTGCCCATTCTTATGTTAACAAGAATAGGGCAAAGATGAAAAGACAATAAATTTTTATTCAGTTGACTTCTCTTAATTAAGATGGCAATGTTGAAAAAGTTCTTCTCATTATGAACTCTTCCACTGGGGATGACAATTCATCTCCTTCTGTGATGTAATCTAGCAAAAAGTTTGAACAAGTTCTTCTAATTATGAACTTCTTCTTCGTCAGATGAGTTTTTCTCATTTGAACTTCTTCTGGAAATGCTGATCCTTGAAGGAGGTGTCATTGATTCAACTTCATATGTGATAAATTAAGGTAAGGTTGAACAAATTCTTCTCATTATGAATTTCTTCTCCTTCTTCAGATGAGTTCTTCTCATTATGAACACTTCTGGAAATGTTGATGTTGATCTATCTTCTTCTGTGATAGAGTCAAACAAAGGTTGAACAAATTCTTCTTATTATGAACTTCTTCTTCCTCTTCAGATAAGTTCTTCTCATTATGAACTCTTCTCTGGAAAAGTTGATCCATCGAGTGATGAATTCAAACAAAAAGTTGAACAAATTCTTCTCATTATGAATTTCTTCTTCTTTCTTCATATGAGTTCTTCTCATTATGAACTCTACCTGGTAATGATGATCCATCAAATGATGAATTCAAATAAAAGGTTGAACAAGTTCTTCTCATTATGAACTTCTTCTTCCTTCTTCAGATAAGTTCTTCTCATTATGAACTTTCTCTGGCAATGCTAATCCATCGGGTGATGAATTAAAGCAAAAGGTTGAACAAGTTCTTCTTATTATGAACTTCTTCTTCCTTCTTTAGATGAGTTCTTCTCATTATGAACTCTACCTGGCATGTTGATCCATTGAGTAATGGATTCAAATCTTTGCTAAAAGCTTTGAAGTTCTTGTCAAATATTCAACATGGATAAAATGAATGAAAATGCCCCTATTTGCAAATGTCTAAATATGATGTATGAATGTTAAGTTCATCTTTATTTAATTTCAAAGTGGTGAACTTGGTCATCCTTCACTTGGTCAAAATGTCATTTCAAACTGCATTTATGATTTAGAATAGCAATCTTTGTGTCTTCGTTGCTTCATTTGCATTAAAGTCTCAGAAGAAAATGTTTCATTTATGGAACTCTTGCCGTAGTCAGAACTATGACCTTGATGCCCCATTTTGTTTGGATAAAACCGACTTTCTTTGTATAGACTTGTGTAGAAATCCAATAAAGCTTTTATCTTTGAAAATAGAATCTATCATCTTTGGAGAGAGAATATATCATCTTTGAAGAGTATAGATGTAGATATGTCTGACTCAGCAAATTAATTAGGAGAGTAGCGTCTGTTCTGATTTGACTCTTGAAACACCTCACAAGGAGGATTTATCCTAATTCATTTCATGTCTCCACATCTAATCAGATCTCGAACAAGGCAACTTGGATCATATTATGTCGAGATGCTTAACAACAACTTGTTGTTCAACCTTAGTTGGCTCCACTAGTTTCTTATTGTTAAATTTTTTGTTTCCCTTCTATGGAAAAAAAATCTTCATCATATCTCACTTCTAACCTTTGGGTTGAAGAATACAGACTTTATCTTCCATCAATAAATGGAAACCATATGATCACAACATTGGTTTAGCATCGGAATAACTGGTTCA